CTATTTATTTCAACTTACAACATGAGTAATTAACGTTGTGTGAGATTTTCTTACTTGCCATGCACTGGTCTAAACAGTTTATGTGTATTATTTAATTCTCAAAAAAAAAAAAAAAAAAGAAAAGAAGAAAGAAAGAAAACTGTGAGGTTGGCACTGTAATGTCAAACAGCAGGTAGTGATTCATTAGAGATTTCAGATAGAACATCTTATAAGCAAAATATAGCAGAACAATATTTCACTACCTGGAAATTTGCTTTTGTTCTTTCCTAATGCTAATTTGTGCAGTTGTGCCTGTTTGTGCAATGAGGTTCTTGTTTGAGAAATTATTTTTATTTGGAAATATGTTTTATAGTTTCTTCAATGGTGAGGAAAAGATTATTTCTGTAGGTAGGCTTTCCTAGGAAATTTTCCCCAGCAGGTTATTGGTGTGCAGGTGGTTTTGAGGGAATAACTCTCAGGCATGCTACCTATGAGGGGGTGAAGAAAGAGAAATTTGGTAGAGGGAAAAAAATATGAAGCTGGGATGGCCCTTGAGAGATGCCTTGACTTGAGTCAAGTGGGCCCAGCCTTGGGATTCCTACATTGTTTGGAGGCTGCCCAGGGCCTGAGAAACTGGTCAAGGCTACTGATTTCAACCAAGGACAGTGTCTGGGAGGCATGCAGGGGGAATCCATCTGTAGGCAGCACTCTCAGATGGAGGAGTCTGTGCCCCCAGGTCCCAAGGGTGTCATTGTTCTGTACCACTGTCTCTATATAAGGCAAAGAAATAATGGCCTTAGAAGGCTGCATGTCCTTGCTTATTCAGAAACACATTTGTCAGAGAAAAAGGTATCTGTCATAATTCAAGGCAGAGAAGAATAATGTAGAAAAAAGAGCTAGAAAATTTTTTAGGCAGTTCCAACCAAAAAGACATTGTTTTATGGCATAAATCCAAAAGGATCAAAGAATAGGTAAGGTGACAATAATCAAAACCTCTTAGAAATTAGCAAGAAAGCTGATGCATGCTAACAGATTTGCTGAGACCTAGAAAGAGTAATATGAAGCAGCAGAGAGGAAACTGAGTCAGCGCAATTTACATCCAATGCTCTCTCCATACTCAGAGATTGACAACATGAGATGCAATGGAAGAAAGGGCAAAATAAGGAAAACTGGGTGGAAGTCAGTTTAAGAGACAGTCAGGTCCCCCAATCCCATTCCCTACTTCCATCCCAGAGACTGGGGGCATATTTCTTTCCGGAGGGAACGTTTTGTTTTTGAGATGATAAAGGAAAGATTGTTGGTCTGAGCAACATTAGGAGGAGTTCAAGGTGGAAGAGGAGTTCAGGGTGGAGGACACACTCAGACCACCAGGATTCAATGCACACCTCCACACTGAAGCTGAGACTTCCCCACCCCTATCCTGCTGCTCCCTCCTGCTTCCTGATCTTCTGCCTCTTGGATGGATATTGGACAGACTTTTCTGGGGAGTCCAATCAACATAAAGAGAGAATTTTAAAAGTTTCTCCATCTTAACAGTTTAGGCATATCATCCCACAGTACAGCTAACAGGCTACAGCCCTCCTTAGGGAGGGCCCAGACTTCCTGTACTTTTTATTTTGTGCAGACAACTAAGAATTCTTGGTGTCTCCATGAGAAGAACAAGGGACAAACAAACACAAAGGGGGAAAAAGCAACACAGAGAAAATGGAGGGAATTTATTCAGGAAGGGAATGAAACACAATAAATAAGGATACCCCAAATACCTCAGAGTAAGAAAAACATAACATTGTAATAATAAAATAAGAACAGTTACTTCAAAAAGCAACATTTAGATAACAAGATGGAGTTCTTGGAACTTAATCTGAGGGAAAAAAGCAAAATTCAGCAAAATTACGTCACACGAAAACTTGCCAAATTATCCCAAAAGCAGAGTTAAGGGATGAAGTAATATGAAGTATTAACAGCAAAGATAAGAAAATTAAAGGACAAGTTCTGAAGGTCCAACAACCAAACATAGGAGCAATGCTTGAGTAAATCCGAAGAATGATCCTTTTGAAATTAGAATTTTATACCCAGCCAAACAATCTATTAAATATGAAGTAGAATAAAAACATTTTTAGGGATATGGCATCTTGGAAGTTTACCTTCATGAGCTTTTCCTACTGAAGACACTAGAGGCTGTAAACTCCCAAAAGGAGAAAGAAGGGGATGAGGCACAGGATACAGGGAACGGGAGATCCAGCACTGCAGTGCACAGAGCAGTAGAGATGCATCAGACAGGAAGGAAACCAGTCAAGATGGTGGGAGGCTCCAGGAGATAAAGAGCTAATAGAAAACCTGATGCAACTGCAAGAATTGGGAATGCATTTGGGTTGAGTTCGTTAGAATAGGGAAAATAACAAGTATTATATGTAGAAAAAAGCAAAGTTGTATAGGGATAGAAAATTGGACTTTACTACATGATTGAACTAAGAATTACAATTATGTCATCCTAATACTGTAGAGGGAACAGCAGGTATCAAAGTTACTATTTACAGGAATGCGTGAGGGTTCAGTGGGAAGCATATGTGCTGGAAGGAGGAGGAGAATAAATGTTTTATCCCTACATTTCCTGAAAGGAATATACAGATAATGCTAAAATATAAAATCAAGAAGAGCATAAGACATGTTATTCTCAAAAATGCAGATAAATAGAAAAACAGCTAAAAGATATGCAAATATTTGCCTTTGAGAAAGAAGAGTTTGAGAGGTGGGAGGTGGAGGATTTTTTTTTGTTGTTTTGTAAAATACTCTGTGGAATTATTGTATCTTAATGTAGATGCATGTTATTCATAAGTTTGAATAAAAACCTGTTAAAAAGATGGACAGGAGAGAAAAAAGAAAGAATATTAATTGCGCCAGACAAAAAGAAGGATTCATTTACTGGCCTGAATGAACTTTTTTTTTTCTGCAATAATTTTAGGTGTAAATCAGCAAGCCAGTTAATTTACATAACATTGTTAAATATATTCTGATTATTAGCATTCTAAAATGTTGATCTAAGGGACTTCTAGATTTCTATTTTTATAATCTTATTGTAAATTTATTTTGTTATAGAATGTAGTATTGGAAAAGTATATTTCAATAAGTGATTAGTCTACTAGTGAGATATCTTATATGAAAAAAGAAAATATCATACAATAAAAATGTAAGAGCTGAAGACCTCATTAATTCAGTTTTTTTTTTTATATTCTACCTAGGCGAAGGTGAAGTTTACCTTTGAATGCCTAAGAAGAAATGAATATTGTAAGCATCATTATAAGGATATCTTGTTCATTTCTTTAAAAGATACTGAAGATTGAAGTGTATATTATTTGAGATTCTTTTTGATTACATAAATAGGTACTGAGTTTATTCATGTAATAAATGGTAATTAAGTATTTTGTTCAGGCATTCTGCTACATATTGGGAATGCAAAACTGAGAATGTATAGTTTATGCTTTTCAATTGACAGTTAAGTAATAAAATTGAAATTAAAATTAGCAATTGTGATTAAAAGAAAAATAAGAGTGATTGCTATAATAAAGAGTTAAGCAAAATGCATAGCCGAGGGGTGTGAGCACAAGCCTCACAGAGGGAGTTTCATTTGAACCACATTTGAAGGATAAATGAGAAGTATGTAGAGGAATTGATGGAGGAAAGTTTAGGGGGAAACAGCCTCTTGGCTAGTGATACAGGCTCAGATGCTCAGGGAAGAGCCAATGCTTCAGGATTGCTGGAACATTGAGCAGTGACCCTGGAGATAGAGGAAAGACCTCTAGATTTTATCGTGAAGATTGAAGCAATGATATACCATTGATAACTATTGTTATTCACAGTAGCCCAAATTTTTATGTTATATCTATGTGCTAGGCACTGAAACAAGCATGTTACATGAAAAACCTCATGTAATCCTTACTACTACTCTGTTATTATCCCCATTTTTAAGTTTTTCAAGCATGACGTTAATATGACAAAATTTGTGTCTAACAAGTTCATTCTAACACCCACAAATAAATGTTTCAGTCAAGTAGAAAAGAAATACACAATGACTTATACAGCTTACATAAAAATATTATACATAATACAGCAAGGTAAAAGACTGGAAAGATTAGAGATACACAGTTGTTTTATTCTTTTCACCACTTCCCAAGTTTTAAAATATGCGTTTGTCAATTTTAAAATAAGAACAATGTGTGTTATCAGAGGAAGAAGAGAAAAAGGGAAGGAAGAGTTTCAGCAAGGAGGAAAAAAGAGAAGAGAGAACAAGAGAAGCAGAGAGAGACAGACAATTCCTGATAGACACAGTTGGAGGATAGATCAAATGAGACGAACAGCAGAGAGACTCCTCCTGTGATGGTCCAGGCAAAAGATAATAAAGCCTCGATTCACGCAGACATCTACAGAAAGCAAATGGAGAAAATCAAGAAAAATAAGAGAAATGTTTAGAAAATAAATCAAAATGACTCGATCGCCCACTGGACACATAGATGGTTTTGCCCATTCTGCCAGACTCAGGGAGAGAAGATGTAACGAGGCTTCTGAGAGGAAATGATTGATAACACGTTCCTGGAGCTATGATGTTATGATTGGTTGCTTATTTCACTCAGCATAACTAGCTAATGTCAGTTTATGCTTTGCATTAATTGGTCACATTCCTGTGAAAGAAAAAAAGGATGGTTGCATGTACTTGATCTCCAAGTTGATCCAGAACCTCAAGTTCTGATTTTGACTTAATGAAATCTTTTGTTCTGTATTCACAACAACCCAGAACTTTCATGGTATGACTGCAGGAATATAAAAGAACAACTTGAAGAATCTAACAATACTGGTTTGGGACCATGGGTGACTCTTTATCCAATTATATGGACTTGACTTTCCTCTAAAACATGTCTAATTGCCTGTAAGAGTTTGTGGGGTAGAATGTTAAAGTAACAGCTTCACTCTACTGTGTCACAAATGTATTTCCTCCCTGCTGACACTCTACTTCCTTCTTCCTACAGGGCTTTATGAAACCTTTCTAACCAATGATGAACCAGAATGCTGTGACGTCAGGAAGGAAGAAAAATCAAATAACCCATCCAAAGGGACCGTAGATAAAAGTGACTCCTGTCACAGGACGTCGCTCACAGTGTCATCAGCAACAAGACTGTGCAACAGCAGACTCAAGCTGTGTGTTCTTGTACTGATTCTCTTACACACAGTGCTCACAGCCTCGGCAGCACAGAATACAGCCGGACTGAGCTTTGGAGGCATCAACACGCTGGAAGAAAACTCAACCAACGAGGAGTAATGGAAGGGCGAGTGTCACCACAGCAGCAGCTGGCCCGCCGTGAAAAATGCAACTGCTGTCTCATGTAACAGAAACTGGGTGCTTTTACCCTCGAATTACTTATCGCAAGGCCTTTAGGGTAAAATCTAAACAGATGGGCCTGAATCCAAACAAGGACACAACCACAGCTTTTTATTGACTAAAAGGCTGGAAAGTGACTTTAAATTTCTCACACCATTTTATACACTGTGTTTTAATGTTTGGAGGTTTTATTTGTTTTCATTTGGGTTTGAGTTTATTTGTTTATTTTTTGCACTTGTTAATACAGGATTTATTTTGGGGGATGGTTTCTCAGAGGTAAACTAAGTCTTTTCACTGTCTCTATCTCTATATATTTCTAGTCATTGTGTGTGTTCATCAGATAGTTCTGTCTTTACGTCCTGTCAGTTTCTATTAGAGGAATGATTGCTATGACCTCGTGGTATAGCAAAAAAAAACAACAACAAAAAAAGAATAAAAAATAAAAAAAGACAAAAAAAAGAAAACAACAAAAAATAAAAATAAAAAAAATCCCTAAGTCTCCCTTCTACCCGCAGAGCCAATACCCTTCCCGGCCTTTCCTTGCCCCCGCCCTGTTCTTGTCCTCTAAGCAGACAACATCCGCTTGCTTCTGTCTGTGTAACCACAGTGAATGGGTGTGCACGCTTGCTGGGCCTCTGAGCCCCTGTTGCACAAACCCAAAACAGGGCGGAGCCAAGGGGGCCTGGCGGGAGTTCCTTTTTAGCTGAACAAACAAGTGCTCTCCATAATAGATGGAATCAGACAGTTAACATTTTTATGTTGAAAACAAAAGGAAAAAAAAAAAAAAACAAAACACTATCATGAACTGTGTTGCTCCAGTTCCCATCGCCAAGTGGCCCAGCCCTTTCTTGCTGGTCCAGTTGGACAGGAGCAGCCATCTAGAATCAGGATGTGGGGAGTGAGGAAGTGTTTCCATTGACAATGGAGGTGGGCTTTCATTGTGATTTTAGTTCTATTGCAGTAATATAGGAGCACATTTTGGCCATTGTAATTACAGGGAACAAAGGGATTGCAGACACATATCTGGACTTCTTTTCCTCCCTTATTGTTGTGGAAGAGACACTAGAAATGCTCAAACACCTGCAATATACAGAATATATACAATTTTATTCCAGTATTTCCCTAACATATGGTTTAAAATTATTCCAGGTATACAGTGTATGCAATTCTGCATTATCACAGAGGAACAACTTCTTTTTAAAAAAATAAATAGGTCAGCCATTTTTATTAATGTGCAAAAACTTTATCACTCTAACATGCTCTAGGTAGTTGAGGAAAAAAGGTCTGATCACTCTGTATTTTATTTTTTCTTTGTGGGAACATTTCATCTGCTGAGTGTATATGAATTTGCTTTCTGTAAAAGGCTTTTATGAGTTTACAGTAGAATCAGTGGAAGGAAGAGTCACTAAGGGCTGTTTTTAAAAAAACAAACAAACAAAACAAATAATTTAAAAAAAAAACTTACATTCCTTCCTATTCTCTAACTACACTTGGGAAGTGCACTTCGGATAAGTTTGCAGTGTGATTGAGAGATGAAGGAAATCCATAGAAAAGGTCCTCTTAGCGAACAAAATTTAGTTATTAACTTTATAGCTATGAAATTTCCCCGGGCATTTGTTTTTGTTCAAACAGACTTTAACCTCTGCATCATACTTAACCCTGCAACATGCGTACAGTATGCATATTTTGTTTTGAAAAAAAAAATGTTTTGTTCCAGTCTGTTAAGAATATTCAAAAATAATAAAGGTATTGCTTAATAAAATTGCTAGAATTGTTTAGCAGTACATGCACAATATTTTACTAGATCCTTTGTTTTAATAGTGTTTTGTTGAGACTGAAAATCCTAAAATGGTCTGCGCAAATACAAAAAACACCAAAAATGCAAAATTCTCCCGTTTTTGTTCCTTTCCTAAAATTTGGTGTTTTTTTTTTTTCTTTCTGTAAATGCAAATACATTCACATGCCCACAGACACATACACATAGGCATTATATTTTAATTTATGGAAACATGGTGCTTTTCTGGGGACACAAGCGGGGGGAAGTGAATGGCTAGGGGGAGACACATTAATTGCATTGAATCGTTGACTGTGAAACACTTGTCGAAATGAGCCCTTTGATCTCCCTAACTAGTGATGGAATACAGATTTCAGTGGCGCTGGGGGGACGAGAAGCAGAGGAGTTGAGGCTGCACGTGATTCCTGAGGAAGAGCTCACAGGGTGATCTTATTCAGATGACCTCTAAGTGGACAGCTAGGAGTCTGTTCTGACCTGTATCTACCTCTGCTGTGGTAAGGCCACTCCGCACACCATCTCACCATCTCTTCGGTGTTCCCGTGCTGCTTCTGCCTGAGCCATAGGCATTTCTGTTCTTGCAGGAAGATGACAATAAAAATGCAAGCTCCATCCACTTTCATTGGCATGAAAATAAATTTCTCTTTCTAAACACTCAGCAAAATGATGAAAAACAGTATTCCTTCAAAGATAGGTTTTCATTGTCTCAATATATTTTGAACTGACTAAAGCTGTTTTCAAATACAAGAGGATCAGAAGGCTCCGCTTACCCGTGTTTTAGCATTTGTTTGGAGGTAATGCCAGCCAAAAGGTGGGAAACTAAAACCACCATTACTTTACGTAGGCGGTACACCCCCCAAAACACAGTTTTGAAAGTTGGGAGAAACACTGCAGTCTTCATTATAAATCAATAATTTAGGTGAGGGAGGAATGGTGAAAAGAAGAAGGGGAATGAGTCCTTTCTCCCCATCGGGTTAGCCAGCACTGGAATAGTCTCTTCATTCTGTGGAATCTTTTTCTTGTCATGTTCATCTGTTCTTATTACAGGAGAATGATCTCAGTGCCTATTATTTATTATTGTAAGTGTGTAACCTCTTTCTCACTATATTTCCACTGGACATGTTGAAGCAAAGCAACTTCTTCTGGGGCCAGCCAGAGGATCCAAATAGGCAACAACTCCTTTCCCAAGCTCAGAAACAATCAATGATGCAAATGTCACTACATCCGTTGATCGTTGGCAGTAGCTTTCCTGGCACACACTTGAGCATGCTTAAGGTTGTGCACTTCTTCATTTTGAACGAATAAGTTCAGCCCCTGCTTCTTTGTAACTGTCATCTTGTTTAGTTTTTCCTGTAGAGGATGTCTACCATATACTGGATAATGAACTACAATATTAAAATAATTATTTCTACAAGCAAGTTGAAAATCAAGGAAACAATATTTGTTTCATAAATGTATGGAATAGATTTCCCTGTGTTTATTATTGTCTTTTTATCTGCGGTAAAGAAATTTCAGTTTCTGGAATATGTTGGTACTGCTAAGCTAAATGGCAAATAACATACATAAATAGAGTTCAATGTCATTCTTTATTGCAATTACATTTGGTGATACGTTATACTGACTTTTCTTGCATTAAAAAGATAGTATTTTTCCCCTCTCTCACAAGATAGTAAGTGAAAATTGTTCTTTTAAATGGTATCATTACAAAAAGTAATTTGGTTTCTTACCAATAAATTGGTACCTTTAAGTACTAGAACCTATAGTCAATACAACAAAAGAAAATAGGCAGATAGCAGAAACAGGAATGACAGGAAAGAAGAGGGTGGGAGGGGAGGGAGGGGAAAAGGGGTGGATGGAGGCATGGAATGAAGTGACGGAAGGTTTTATATGAATGAGTAATTTTATAATTTTTTTCCAGGAGAAAAAAAGTAAATGAATTAAGCAATTGGATGCCAGACCCACATGCCAAATACCTGAACTGGCATATGGCATTTGATACCTGAACAACATTAAAAACATTAATGAGTCTGAAGCATGATTTCCGTTCTTTCTTGGTATGATGAAATTTAGAAATATGTTCCTGCTACTCAAAGCATGAAATCAACACAGAACTGAAAGCTGCATTTTGTTTTATTTAGAACTGCAGTCAGGTATTTTATTTGTCTATTTATTTATTTATTTAGAAGGCATTTTGCTGTGCCGCTCAGGCTGAAGTGCAGTGGCACAATCTCGGCTTACTGCAACCTCCATTTCCTGAGTTCAAGCAATTCTCCTCAGCCTCCCGAGTAGCTGGGACTACAGGCTTGTGCCACCATGCCTGGCTAATTTGTGCATTTTTAGTAGAGCCAGGCTAGTCTCGAACTGCTGACATCAGATTATCTGCCCGCCGATTAGGCGTCCCAAAGTGCTGGGATTACAGGCGTGAGCCACCGCACTCAGCTAGGTATTTAATTTCATAACTATCCATATGCATATGTGAGGAGAAAGGGTTATATGAATATACCATGGTATATCTTTAGAGAGATATGAAAATACACACACACACACACACACACACACACACACACACACACACATCACTTGCAAGTAAAACTTTAACCAAACATTATGTAGTCCATAACAGCACATGTACGCCATGATGATGAATGATCCTATTGTTTGTGAAAGTTAAAGCAACATGCTCATTTAAAAACCATACCTGCTTTGACATGGGAAACAGACTCTCCAAATGTCTCCCTTAATGAAGGAATCACAATTTTGAAACAGCCAGAATCTCCTCCATCTTCCAAGCTTGAAAATGTTAATAAAAGCCTACTATGGCAGGTAGGTATTGGGTGACCATGGGTAACAGGACTTTAAGTTGGGGGAAGGAAATAAACAAGTATAGTTTTTAAGCAATGTCTTCATGACATTTATAAGGACTCTTAAACTGCTACAAATTCTAGAAATTCTCCATATAATGAGAAAATGAATAAATAATCTTCTCAGCCTTGGAATAAAACTTAAGGCATGAAACAAAATATGAACTATGGTCTTTATACTTGAGATACTGTACTTCAGGGCTATGTTTACTGGAGACAAGACATTCAGATTAAACTCGGAAGAAAATCATCTGGTCGTTTTGTCCCGGGCCACACAGGCAGGTAATGCAAATGAGGGAACTCAAGCATCTTTTGATTACAAATTACACAAGCTGGCTCCGGGCATAGTGGGATCTCTAGGTCTCAGAAACACTTGAAGAGTTGAATGGATTTCTCCAAATTCTAAGGTATTTATAAAATCACTCAAATGAAAAATTCAAAACCACCAGGAAGACCCAGCAAATGTCTTAGAGGTCGTTTGTCATGTTACATGTTTTTCCATGACTTGTTGCTTTGTTGTTCAATATTTTGGAGGTAAACGAGAAGAGAGTCTATGGGAATATTTTAATAAAATACAGGTTTTTAATTTTTATTTTTAATGTAGAGAAAAGGCACAGGATTTTAGGGCAAAGCCATGGTTTGGGTATGAGCTTTGGCTCCAGGTGACACAGGGAGGTCACTGGTGTAATTGTACATGACACCTCGTGAAAGAAAAGTACTTCGTGGCAACATTTGAGGCTTAAATGAGATAGGTAATATAAATGTGCCTGGACACCACAGGTCCTCAGCAGTAGTTAGTTATCATGACTATTCCTTCACAAAGTGAAATGGGATTGGCTTGCTCATAGGAACTGCTCCTAGAAGTCATTCAGAGTTTCTGAATTTTTTTGTTTTATCTCTTAATTACATATTTTTAAAAAACACCTCACATCTTTAATCTAGCAGACTGATGATCATCAATATATTTTCAATACAGTTTCAAGGTGTTAATGTATATTACAGAACTGAAGAGAGCTCTGATGACTTTTAGTGTAAAGAGCGTTTATTTCTTTAGATGTCCTCTCCTAAAAGGCTGCTCAACAGCAAAAGTTGACAGCATCTGCACAGGTTGAGAGGTGGTTCTGTATACAAGTGTAAATTGGTCTACACTGGTAGTAGAAATAATGATGCAACTTCAAAGTGGTTGTTAAGGCACTCAGAGATCAAAAAATATATATGACTGTTTGATGCCTCAGAATTCCTTAAGCAAAAAACACTATAGTGATTTTAAACTTATGAAAAGTCTCAATTGAATTAATATCTGTTTTAATTAATGCTATAATTATTATAGAATAAAATAACAGTGAAATTAGAAAACCTGTTCCATTTTTGAAAAGGATATGAAAATGGATTAAGCAGAGTTCTTGAGTAAATTATTTTATTTCATTGATTTGTATCTAGGTAGGTGAGAGGGGAATAGAATTAGAAGAGAGAAGAATGAGTGAAATAAATTTACAACTTCATTTGAAGGCCGGGTTATGAACATTGATCTATGAATATAGACTTTCCTCAGTGACTATTTCTCCTAAAACTCCCAGCTCACTGCAGCACTGGCTGCTTCAAGATTCCAGTTGTTGGCAAACTAGCCAAGTAGAAGGTCATTTTTATTGAAATGATTTTCTACTGAGGATTTCACTGCAAAATGGATAACAACAATAGGAAATAAAAACTACAGGCCATGTGCAGTGGCTCATGCCTGTAATCCCAGCACTTTGGGAGGCCAAAGCAGGTGGATCACAAGGTCTGGAGATTGAGACCATTCTGGCTAACATGGTAAACCCTGTCTCTACTAAAATATAAAAAGCTGGACGTGCCAGCCTGGCTACAGAGCAAGACTTCCTCTAAAAAACAAACAAACAAACAAACAAACAAACAAAAAAAAAACACCCTACAGCGAAAGTTAAAGCTCTATGTGGATGTTTAAAAAAGTCTGAATTTTATTCAGATTTTATTCTTCTCTTTGTTTTTCTTCTTCTCCACATGGCATTTATTTTCATATCATAATAAGCATTCTAATGTTTGCACTTAATTTTCCTTACTTCCATTTTTCTTAGATTTATGGATGATGTGTGACATATTAAAAGTAGGAAGGAAAGTATAA